TCAACTTTGACCTGGATGTCTTTTTCAGAGTTGTGTGTGTTTTTCTTGCACTTTTATAATTTCACAACTAAAACAGGAATTAAAAGCCTAGCATTCCTTAAATGAATGCTTATTTGCAGGGGTGATTCTAGGATCTGCCCTTTAGGGGGTGCTTAGCCCCCAGTGTTGACTGGGTAATGCGGTGGCCATTGGCATGAGATGCATTCATAATGTGGGGGGCACCCATCAGTGGGGCAGGGGGTGTCTAGGGGTCCTCCCCCAGAAAATTTTGAATAAAGTAGATGCCATTTCCTGCGTTCTGGCGTATTTTAATGGGTTGTTAAACATTTATGTTTACCTCTGTAAACACTTGATTCAGTAAGCACAACAAGAACTAGCACTAAGCTAGCGATGTGCAATGCAGACGCGCTAGCTAAGATGCTACAGATGTAGCGCTATGCTTTATATTGCACAATCAATGCTTTGTACACAATCAGTTTAGTGCTAACTGCTCATAACAAAGACTAAACTTGTGCAACCAGAAGTTGCAACATATATCTACATACAAAACACAAAACAAAGCACAACTAACTTGAAGCGTTAACTTTTAATTTAACCATTAAGCACACAGTACAATGTAATTATGACAAAAATGGAGGACTTACTTGCAGTTACCGTCGTACAGATGAACATGCGGTACTTCCTGTTTATCATTGTTGTATTCAATAAACTGTATTCCACCCTAAAGCATATTCAACATAACTGCTCGGGGGAGAGGGGGGGCAGTTTCTGAAAGCCAGCAGTTCGGGGGCCGGACATTCATCAGTTAAAGTCATTATGTAAATAAACTAAGTATTACAATGATCTGTTATCTTTTAAATTTGTTTATTTTGTTGCATTGAATCATAAATGCAATAAACAGAACCCAAAACCCAGAACTGGCCCCCCTCAAAAAAAAAAAAAAAAAAATTACTTTATTTTTCAGGGGTGCCAAGTTAAAATTTAGAGGTGCTTGAACACCCCTAAAAAAAGGCTAAAATCGCCACTGCATATCGCCCATTTCATATCAGTTTTAAACTCAGATCAGCTCGCGTACAAAAAGAGACAGCAATAAAACTTTATAAAGAACGTGACTCTTGCGAGACCTTGTATAAGATGTTTTACTCATTGTGTGTACTGTGAACGACTCTCAGCTACTACCACTCCAAATTTTAGCTCAATCTGTCAAACTGACTGCGTTACAGCTTTTGTTTTGTAGTCGGCTAATGTCGTTTAGATGTGATGTTTTTCTTGGATAGCAGAGACTCTACAAGTTAACCCGTTGTAGATGTGTGCCAAATGATTACTTTTTATGGGTTTCATTAAAATTCCTCATCTGGTTCGTGAAATACTTTGCTAACGCACACTCATGCGCCGTCAGGAGCAAAGACATGATCGCCTTTGAAATTAAAGTAATTACCGGTATGTGCGAATGGTAAAGTCTGCGTAAAACAATAGTTGTTTTAAATTTAATATGTTAATTTATGACTCACATCTGACTCTATGTTTACATCTAAAAGCAATGATTTAGTTTAATGATCAGTTTTACATCAGGTGAGTTTTTTTTATTATTTTTTTTTGCTTTTCCGCCTTTCACTTAATCTCAGATGTGAATGGATTCAAAATCTCTACAGTTCTTTGACGTGCCTAAAGCGTCTGGATGAAATATGCACAAAAGAACCGGGCTAATTTCTTGCAGATGTGTCTCCGGACAATGATGTGAAGGAGCACAGTGTGTGCTGCTGTTGCTGGGGACAGATGTGGAGAGAAATGAAAGGGGCTCAACGTGGAAAAAGTCCAGAATACATCCGTAACCCAGAACAGCTGGTTTCGACTGTCTGGTGTTCCAGGGAAGAAAGGGGAGGCGATCAGGCCTCACTTGCACATAGCTTTCCATCTCAGGAGGAACTGCTGGTATGCAGAATCAAACTCCGTGAGTCATCCTAAAAGCTAAAGCACGGCCGAGCCAAAACTAAAACCCTTCTTCACCGTTTTACGCTGGAAAAAGGTCCAAACTGCCAGGCGATGTCTCCGAGACAAAACAGGAAACTTACACGGAGGCTTTTATTGCTGAGGTTACCGAGACTGGAAAAGAAACGTCTCTCGACTTATTTTGTTCCTTTCTTGGTTTCATATTTGATTCGAGTTTTGGACCTCCCGTTCAAATCTGTACCAACGGTTATTTACATCTTGAACACATCACCCTTGCCTCCAGGGAGGATACAGTGTATTTTCTAGAGCTCCTCTGATTTACCGTCACGGTTTAAAGAAGCTGAAAACGAAAGATCACGTTTCTGTGCGATGATGTGTTCCCTCCAAGCACAACACATCTGTAATTTACAGCATGATTTAATCACTAAAACCCAACCCAGTGAGGTATTTTTAGATTTTCTCTTTTTTTGTCTTCTGTCCAGCAGTTCAGACCCTTTGTTCCCAAAGGTTCTTGTTGTTCTGTTGAATTCATTAGTTAGCATGACTTTGTTTATTTCCTTGACGATTTCAGCCATGCTGCCATTTGCAAATTCCTTTTCCCTTTTAATATTTATCTATAAAAACAATAAGTCAAATGTTCACATTAAGAAACGTTTTGTTTGTTTGTAAAAAACCTCAGCTGTTGAAGTTGGAGTAATGCTTTTTTATTATTGCTCTATATTATTATATTTATTGTTGCTTATTTGTTTATTTATCTATTTATTTATGGCTGACTTCTACTGATATTTGCAATGACATGTGTGTTTTTGACAAAGTTTTCCAGACGTGTAATGCCAAAACAATGATTTTTCATATTGTATTTGCAGATCTCTCAATTTGTTGGTCTGTTTACGTCACGTGGTCATGAGGTTTGGATCATGACTGAAAAAAATACTAGATCCCAGATACAAGCGGCCAAAATGAGCTTCCTTTATACAGTGGCCAGGCTCAGCCTTAGATATAGGATGAGGCTCCATCATCTGGGTGGAGGAGCTGGGGGAGAGGGATGTTTGTGTTTCTCTCCTGGACCTGTTGCTACCTTCACCGCCCGACCACCGATAAACAGTAGAAGATGGAGATGGCATTCTTTGATCAATAGAAAGGATAACCCAGCCTGGATATTCTTATTATTTAAAGAAACAGGTCTTTACATTCCTTTATTCAAGGCATGGCTGTATATAAAAGAAAAAGAGAATGCTGCTGAAAAAACCATGTTTGCACAGAAAGCTGTCACGACTGATCGGAGGTTTCACATCATGTCCCATGAGACGAGTGGCTTCTGAACGGTGGAGACGGTTTGGAGCGGAGAAAGTGAACGAGCAGAGTTTGTCCCTCCCCTCATCATCAGTCTGGCGCCCCAGAGCAAATCCTTTAACGCCCAGCTGCTCGGGAGTCACTGCTCTGTGATGAAATGCTGTTTCCAGGTGAACAAAGTAATCTTAAAATCAACAAAAATGCTCAATTCTTGTTTTCGTATCTCCTAATGAGAGTTGTTTAACTCCTGAAAGTTGAAGACGTAGCAGGCTTTCATTCATGCAGACGAATGTAGCCATGCATCCATGTGTAGCTGTTAATCTGCAGTAATCTCCCTCCTTGTATGAGAATATTAACATTGCAGCTGCATTTGTTGCCTTCATTTAATTAGCAATCTTTTAATCTAAGGTCGCATTTCATTGTGAGAACCAGTGAATTCCTTGAGAAAGTCGCTGTGGTTTTACAGCTTCCATCCTGCGGTCTGTCATGTGGACGCTAGAAAAAAATGTTCCTGGTTGGAGTCAAATGAAAACCTTGAATTAAGCTTCCCAACCTACACATTATACATCTGAAGTTACCAGCAGGGCCATGATTTGACCGGACTGCTGCAAATCACTTCAGCTCATCAGCAGAGGAGCTGCAGGCTGCCAGCAAGATGGAGAACCTCAGCTATCAAGTGTCAGCATGCAGACTGCTGCCCCCCCTTCCTTTTTTACACTACTAACTAATTATGACCTTAAAGAAGAGATACATGTGGCTATGTGCTGTTCAGGGGAGCTCTGATGCAGACCAGGCCTCGAAGGAGTGCAGGGTTGGTTTATGAAAAATGGTTTCCTGGGGAAAAAAAATGAAATATTGTGGGGCCATAAGGAGTTGTGTTTAGGTTTACGAGCTGATGAGTGATGAAGCTTCTGGTAGAAGGTTGCAGGAGGAGGAGACGATCCAAGACAGTACGTTTTATCCACTCTGTCTATACTGTTAGCAAAATTTCTCATGAACCACTGAGCAGATTTGAGTAAAACTCTTTCAGGATCTCTGGATGTTCATCTAGAGCTGATTCACTTTTGGAGCCAATCTCATCCAAGATGGCCGCCCCAGCTAAGCAAATTTAACAAACACTGAAATGAGTATAACTTACAGCTATGGAGCTCAAATATGGTGAGGTAGTAGGTGAGAGTAATCAACAGAGCAATATTTTAACTTAAAACAATGACAATAACTGTTTGTCTGTTAGCAAAATATCACATGAATTACAGGACGGAGCTTAATGAAACTCAAATCACTGCTGTGCATCTGCCAATAACTTTTGGTATCAAACTGATGCCAAATGAACAAAATGGTGATAATTTACTCAGTTTTACAAATAATGAGCCAAAATTAGTAGCTGGGAGATACTGGGCCTTTAATTTGAGAACACTTTAAACTGGTTTCAACAAGTTTTTATTGTAAGTCACATGTTAGATGGTTTTCTCTGATGGCTGAAAGCAGCTTGTTATAACCTTATTTAGCACCTTGTAAAACTGTGCAGTTGTTAAAATCACTTCTTTTCCAGCAGGAGGAAGACAAACACCAAAAGTTGAACTCCTCCTCCTCACATCATCATCATCATCATCCTGCCAACTGCAGGGGAAGATGAGATGAGCTCACAAGGATACACTGAAACTTGGGTTTTTCACGTCCTCTCCTCTACATCCTTTAAGAACATGAAGGGTTTTGCGTTTTAAAATTCTAGTTTTTATGACCACACGGTTGAATTCATGATGGGATCGCGCGCGTTTTGCGCTTCGCCCTATTTGCGCGTCTGCTCCGTGTTGCTTCTCATTCAATTTGCCCAAACTCAGAGGACTCCAGGAGGGAGCGAGCAAAGGGGGGCTCTCCGGCAGACGCTGCAGTGGTCCCACAACGGGAAGGTCTTCAGCATTCTGAGCCAGGGGGCGCAGTACGAGGCGCCGAAGCGGAGAGGAGGCGCGCAGCAGGAGCAGCAAGTGCAGCCGCGACCCGTCGCCATCATCCGGGATGAGGAGGCGAAACCTCAGGACGCCCGGAGTCAGCCGGTGGTCCAGCAGCTGCCGCTCCAGAGGCTCCTGAGAGGCCGGCATCCTCCCGGTGAGGGTCCCAGAGGGCGCGCGGGGACGCACCAAGAGCGCAGAGTCAATGAGACCCAGGAGAAGGTGAACACGAGCAGGATTGAAGACATGATGGTCGGTGATGATCCGTACGACCCATACAAGTCCAGCGACCCTGATAATCCTTATTACAATTATTATGATGTGTATGAGAGGCCGAGGCCGAGATCCAGACCCGGATATGGTACAAGGTACCATCAGTACGGTAAGAGTGCAGAAATCTCAAGAAGATATGTATCACTTCATGGACTGTCATATGGAACCTGCTGCACTTCATGCATGTGGTGCAGGGGTCTGCAACCTGCGGCTCCGGAGCCACATGTTTGGTCCCTCTGGTAGCTCTGACCAAAACTAACATAAAACTGAATTTTATTGGTTACAACCAACAAAAGTGCTAGTTTTAGCTGTTTTATTTTATTTTGCAAATACTCACTTTAACTTTTTGCTTTATTTTTCCTCACTTTAAAAATATAGGTCTGCAGTTCATAGTTTACTATATTCTCCCTCTTTACAAGAATCTGATCTTTTCTTTTGTCTTACACTGTAAAACTATCAATAAATGTTAAAAACCATTAGATTTTTTTTAGCTTTATAATATCACCCCTACTGGCCACAAAAGTTTCATCCAACAAACCTAAAGTGGCCCATGGGCCACCAGTTGATAATCACAGTAGCAGGTTGTTGCGTCTCTGAACACATTTAATTTAGTGAATGAAGATGTATGGTTCTTTGGATCATAAAGGTTGCAGACCCCTGACCTGGTTATTTTTGTTAATAATGCAGCATTTTGTGTATTTAGGTCTGCCTGACCTTGTGCCTGATCCATACTACATTCAAGCCTCGGCTTATGCCCAAAGAGTCCCTATGTACAGCCTGAGGTGTGCTGCTGAGGAAAACTGTTTGTCAAGGTACTGTTGGGATGGATCCACAGCCTTTTAGTAAAAAAGAGAGATTTGCAGCCATGTCTGAGCTTCAAGCCATAACAACCACTTTGTGGGCTGAGGAATATGAGCTGTGAAATTAAGTGAATCCTGCCATGGTGGAGAAAAGTGGGGTGGGGAGGTGGATTTCTGTAAAAGTTTAATCATAGCTTGTCCTGGTAGAGAAAGCCCGAATGGTAAACACATTATCTGAGACTACCCCAAACAACCATAAAGATTTTTTTCCACCCATCATTTACAGAGCGAGAGAGAGAGTCTTCTCCACTCTGAGGAGGAGAGGAAGCAGAAAAACAGCTCTTCCACAAATTAAAGGTGTTTTTTTTCCTCCCTCTCTCCTTCAATCATCTGTTTGCTTTGTGCTTGCAGTTCAGCCGACAGAGCGAGAGACTACGACACCCGGATGCTGCTGAGGTTTCCTCAGAGAGTCAAGAACCAGGGGACGGCCGACTTCCTCCCCAACAGGCCACGCTACTCCTGGGAGTGGCACAGCTGCCACCAGTGAGTATAATGTTTATGCTGTCCACATCAGCATCACTCAACCTCTCTGACCTGCTTGGGCCTCGTTTGCGGACTCTTTGAGTCATATTGTAAACTGTTCGCACACCACATGCATTGTGTTCTTTTTTCAGCACAAACAAATCTGCCTTTGGATTTTTTTTTTCCACAATAATGACACATTATGCAGCCAAAAAATGTAACATTTTTGATTTAATAATAATATTTGCATTTAAACTGGATGCATTTTCACATAAATAAGAACGTTTTTAACAAATCACAACAGCTCCTGTTAAACAACTGCTTTACTGAGGCTGTTTTCCACATTTTGATTTAGTTTTAGGTCCTAAAGCAAAAGTTCAGATCTTTTAAAGTGAAGCTCTTGGGAAATTTCTTGAATAATTATTATCTTACCTGTTGTAGATAGCTCTTTGATTGGCTTCAGATTGTAGAGCTAGTGTTTAATTTTGACCACACTGATGAGCTATCGGAGCAGGGAAAAGACCAGAGTGCATTCCTGTCATCTTAACACAACAAATCAACAGCAACACATGAAACTGGCCCAGTCGCTCCCTGGAGATCAGCGGTGGGGTTTCTCTTGGAGTTGCTGCATCAGAGAGCAGATTTCTTCACTTCTTGTGGAATATAAATCCAGCTTTTGTCTACATAGGTGCATTTTTAATGCTCCAGGTGCAAAGACTTATTTCAGCTGCAAGCTGAGCTTCTCACTTAGGTGGACTTAGTTCTAAAAATTAGAAAGTGGCCAACAAAACCATTTAATATACAGCAAACAATAGATGAGAACCAAGTTTAGTTGCAATGCATTTATGAATCTTTTTATTTTCCACTTTTTTGCAATCAAAAAAATTAATCTATACTACCTTTATTTGCTTTTCTTTTTGCCCCGTGTGTTTTGTCAAGTTCATTGTTTTACCTGAAGCTCGTTTGCAGTTCCAAAATGTCAACGTGTTTCATGCAAACATTATTTTATACACTTTTACTTTTAGTTTCACGTTACGTGGTTATTTTCGGTGCAAACAGCAGCAGTGGTAGCTTGCTGTAGCACTTCCAGTGCAAACTTGACCACTTCTTGTAAAAAAATCACAACATTTTGGCTGTAATATTCATGTAATGTGAAACCTATGGCGATGTAAGAAGACAGCAGTCCATTTTAGATTTGTCTCTACTCAAACTAGCCATTAGCTCATCAGTTCAGTCAGAAATAAACTATTTCTTCAAATTCAAATTAAAAATCTGTTTACAACAGACAAGATGAGGTTTGCTCTTCATTTTTCCACAGAGCCACACTTACAGTCTCACCTGAGCTATCCTTTGACGTTTTAATATTTAATAGGTTTGGTTTCTGTGTAAAAAGAATAAAACTCTTTTTAGCTTGTCAACAAATGGTGAAACTGACCTTTAAGTGACTTTTTAAACGAAATAATTCCTGAAAAAAAACCAACAGATTAATAGTTCTAAAAGTAAACATAGACATTTTTGATTCTTCCTTGAGTTTGCTTAAAACTTCAAGGTTTTTTTTTCACCTAAAACTACCTCAGTCTATAGTTATGTTGTGAGATGATGGAAAGCTTTTGGAGGAGATCCAACGAACTGTTCCTGCAGTCTGTATCTTTTCTTGTCAGTGTTTTGAAAGTGAATTGCTGTTAAAGTCCAGACTGTTTTTCTTGTCGATACCAGAGCCGATGTATTTCAGGGCCATGTAACTAATACAGTTATCACCAGAGCACTTTGAAATGAAAATACACGTGTTCATCAGTAATTAGATAAAAGATGTGTGTTTTCTGCTGCTGATCCACAGGCACTACCACAGCATGGACGAGTTCAGCCACTACGAACTGCTGGATGCCACCACGCACAGGTCAGTGGCAGAGGGCCACAAGGCCAGCTTCTGCCTGGAGGACACTTCCTGTGACTACGGATACTACAGGAGATACGCCTGCACTGCACACACACAGGTCCCAAACCTCATCCATTTTTGCTCTTACTTTCAAGCTTTGGGTCATATAAAAAAAAAAAATCTGCGTAAAAATCGGTTTAAGGAAAACAGAAAATATTTTGTAGTCTCCTTGAACTCTATCCGATGCTCTGTCAGGTTCCGTGTTTTAGCTGGCGACTGCATTCGTATCTTATAAACATTTTCCCTTTTTCGCCATTGCTGCAGCATTTATTTAATCAATTTCTACTAGAAACATTAAGTTTTACTTTTGGTCTTAAAGGAATAATTGACTTTTGAGCAGTTAGTGTCTTACCTGTTGTAGATAATACCTTGGACGATATCAATTTCGAAAAATTAAATTAAATTTTGACCTGGATTGATGAGCTACCGTTGAGTCTGATCAGATTTCTTCCCAAGTCTCTGACATTCATTGTGGTTCAAGTAAACGTTATTTTACAAATAACTTTTATTATTATTGTTGATTATTGAGCATGCATCAGGTTATTTTACAAACTTTACTCGGTTGTCAGTTTCACATTAAAATATTTATACTGTGACCTGTGAACATTTGCAAACACAAATAGTAGCAGCATCAGCTGATGCAGCTTGGAGCACTCCAGTGAGGAATATAGTATTACTATTAGAATAGCATTAAAATACACAAATAAATGTTGTGTACATATTTACAATTTAATATTTGCTTGAATTGCTGTCAGACTGGAGTTGTTTTAAGACAACATCACTTTGTTCTTAGCTTTGTTTAGACTAACTCTAAGCTCATGAAACTAATCAGATTTAAACTCTTATTTCTCCAAACTGAGGCCGTTCCAAGAGCTATCTACAACAGGTAAGACGTTAATTATTCATGACCATTCCAGAACCCTTTTAAAAGACCTGAATTATTGCTTTCATCCCTTACGTCTCACCTGAAAAACACAGTCAGATCTTTTCTTTGTAAATTTGCGATCACTATGAAGAGATGAAGAAACAAACATACCAAAAACACAGCAGCAGCTCATAAAGCCTCATAATTCTCCATGACTTTATTGCCCACAGTTCCAATAGGATTATCACTGTGTGCAGTTATATTGTCCTGACTAAATAAGAAAATCATGTGTTTCTGTTTCTCTTAAAGAACTGGATGTTCAATTTTAGATCATAACTGTTGAAAAGCGAGACTGGAGCCCAGAAAAACAAATGCTCTTCCACTGAGGGAGCTGAGTTTGATCCAGCAGCTTCTCATTTTCCGCAGGAGACATTTTCATGGTCCCTCATTGAGTTCTGTTTAATCTTTCTTGAGGGCTGATTTGAAATGACTCCACATTTAATTCAAATCATTGCCCTTTTTGTTGTCATTCAATATCAGACTGTAATAAAGGTCCATAATGGGTTAAAATTATACATATAAATGTTTAATAAGTAGCTAATTTTATTTATGATTTTTATGGACGCTGTCCGATGTGCAGGGCCTGAGCCCAGGATGTTACGATACATACAATGCCGACATCGACTGCCAGTGGATTGACATCACAGATGTGAAACCCGGACACTACACCCTCAAGGTTTAATATAAATAACTTCTTTTCTAACGCACTAAATATCATTTAATGAAACAAATTATGTAAAATGTCATTATGCTGGTGATCTTGTTTAGTAATTTTTGCTCGTTTGCTGACAATCCCCATGTCTTTTCTTGTTTCTTCTTCACAGATCAGTGTAAATCCGTACTATCAGGTCCCAGAATCAGACTACAGCAACAACATTGTGCGCTGTGACGTTCGCTACACCGGGAGCTACGCCTACGTCTCAGGATGTCACATGTCAACGTAAGTATCATACATGAAATGCTTATCTGACGCAGGTTTTGCTTCTCTCCTTATTTCTCTTGATGTTTGTGTTTTTTAAATTTCTTTCAGATATTAAGAAGCAGCAGCGATCCAGAGAAAGTCGGCAGTTCTGTAAATGATGAGGAGCGCCTGTAGGGACGTGCACGATGACATAAAATAAGATGATAATAAATGCTCATACAGTGTTGAGGGGGAAAAGCTGAGAAAAATACAAATACCTCGAGCTATAACAGCAAATCCTCCTTGCATCTTTGAGATAATTTCCTTACACGGAAGCTTACTAACATTTTTATTTTTTAACTGAATCAACACAGGAATAAAAAATAAAATAAAAATCCAGGAACATAGAACGTTAAAAAATTTTTTTTTAAATGGACCAGGTACGACAAAATTTGAAATACATTTAGGTTGAAATTTAAAAAGCTTTTTTTTAATTTTTACACAACAGATAAAAGTCTTTATTCAAAAGCTTTTATTTGGAGTTTCAAAATAAAGTTTTGTGATAGTGTCTCACAGGTATTTCCTTTATCTTCATTCTTTATATATTTCTTTCTGTTATTATTTCTCAACACAAACAGTTTTTTCTGCATTCATGATTTCATATGTGCATAAATGATCCCTCTAGTAGTGAAGTGATGATTTCAGCAGACTCATTGTGGTATTCTGACTTTTGGACTTTAGTTCGGAAACAAAAACTGCATCCTCTGTTTCCCCTTTCCCCTCAGCCTCACCATAACATTTGAGCTCCACAGCTGGTTTTGTAATGCAGGATTTGCCTGATGATCATGTTGTGCTGTTGAAAAACTGGTGACATCCCTACAACGTCACTGAAAATGTTCTCTGGGTTGACACATTTCCTGAAGAGCCACAGTGGACATGTTGCTAAAGTTTTCAGAGGGCTGAGTGCAATAACAAACTGCTCATTGTGCCCAAAAATGGTGAATACAGTCTTTACTAACTTCTTATTTGTGTCCACACTCAGAGTATGCATATACAGTATGTGTGCAAGGAGCATTTAAATAAACGCTGACAACATGAAAACGTTGATGAAATTTTGTTGGAAACCGTTTAATATGTTGTGCCCAAAACAGAAAGGTGGTTGTTTGTCTCGTTTGTCTCTGTGTGTCCCTGTGATGGACTTGCGACCCGTCCAGGGTGTACCCCGCCCCTCGCACAGTGATTGCTGGACATGGGCACCAGCGACCCCCGTGACCCAACATGGAAGAAGCGGGTAAAAAGATGATGGATGGATGGATGCTCAGACTTTGGGACTTTCATTTTCTATTAATACTTCTACTCAAATTAATACTTCTTCTTTTACTACTACTACTACTACTACTACTATTACTACTATTAACACTACTACTACTACTAATATAATAATAACAATAATAATAATAATAATAATATACAAATACTATTACTACTACTACTACTACCACTAACATTACTACTACTACTATTAACACTATTACTACTACTACTAATACAATAATAATTATATTAATATACAAATATTACTACTACTACTACTACTACTACTACTACTACTACTACTACTACTAATACAACAATAATAAAAATAATAATAATAATAATAATATACAAATACAACTACTATTACTACTACTACTGCTGTTACAACTACTACTACTGCTGCTACTACTACTACCACTACTACTACTAACAATACAATAATAATAATAATAATAATAATAATAATAATATACAAATACTACTACTACTACTATTACTACTACTACTAACACTACTACTACTACTACTACTACCACTACTACTACTACTAATACAATAATAATAATAATAATAATAATATACAAATACTACTACTACTAACAGTACTACTACTAGTACTACTACTAACACTACTACTACTACTAATACAATATTAATAATGATAATAATATACAAATACTACTACTACTACTACTACTACTACTACTACTACTACTACTACTACTGCTTTGACTACTACTAATGCTGCTACGACTACTACAACTAACACTACTACTCCAAATACTAATTTAATGATAATAACAATAATAATAATATTACTACTGCTGCTGCTACTACTACAACAACAACAACTGATTCTACTACTACTACTACTACTACTAATCCTACTACTATAATAAAAAAATACAAAGTATAATATTAAGAAGAAGAACAACAATAAACAACTATTACTACTCCTGCTACTACCACTACTAACACTACTACCATTAATTTTACTACTACTACTAATACTAATACTACAACTACTACTACTATTGTTACTACGACTACTACAAATATAACAAAATAATATATGGAATTAATAAATGTGTATAGATATGTGTATGTATAAATTTTAGAACAATAAATTAATATCATAAAATTATTTTTGGTTGCAAAGAATAGTTTGAATTTTAATTTTAAAGAGCATTTTCCCCCCATTATTAAAATAGGAGTAATTTAGACAAATGTGACTTTTGTCCTCCGCGCCGCCAGGGGGCGGCACCGCCAGCTGGTTGAGTTTATTTGAACTTTGATTTTATCAGCTCTGTCAGTCACTGAAGTAAAACGCCACCAGCAGAGCAGAAGTGAGTGTGTGGATGTGTGAGTGAGTGCGTCTTTGAGCTTTAGAGGATCGAATTAAACCCACAGAAGAATTGTTTTATGGTGAAAATGCATCCAGTCCGAGTCTCGATTCCATCGTTCCGTTCAGAAAACAACTCGGTGGAGAAAGGATACACGGTAAGCTCTGTCTGTGTCCTCTACTGCCAACTCTTTTTACTATAAACCTTGCACTTGGATTAAATTATACACTTTCAAAATGTAAACTGTCTTTTTGTCCGTTCATAATTCTTAGATTTGACCTAGAAATGTCTTAACATAGCCTTCATTTAACTGAAGAAACACTGACTGTCAGCTTTATATTTACAGATTAACATTCTTATTTCATATTAAGGCATTTTCAATTTATAATTCAAAGATGGAGCTTATGTATTGATAATAAAAATACAGAAATAAACCAAAAACACCAACAAATAATTAGCTTAGAAGCAGAAAACTGATTTTTTTAAAGCATCTTGAGAAATGAACCTTTTATTTATAAACCCACTCAGATGACCTGACATTGTTTTAATCTTATCAACTTCTTATCTGAACACCATCACCCACACAGTCCTTTTATTTGACATCAACTGCACCTTTTCTATCATGATAGATAAAACTCTGGAGGGCAGATTAAAATATGAACGGTGCCCAAATTATTCATTAAAAGACAAGAGGCAGTCATTTCTAGTGGGTGTTTATTGGCACTGTAAACAAATATATAAATTTATGAGCTTAAGTGGAAGATCCTAACAGCTGTAACATTAAGAATACTCGAAAGACTTCCTAAAATGGATTTTGAATTTATATTAAGGTAATTTTTGCTGTTTTTCCTGGTCACGCAACTTTGTTCTCCTTTCCACGCTGTCATCCTCACAAATCCGGTGGCGTGCAAGCTGTGAAGTTTTTACAGAACAATCCATCCGAGTGAGGGAAGTAGACAACAGTCTGTTCAGGGCTGTTAACAGTAACGCTGACAGATGACAACCTGACAGCCAGATGTTTCCTCTGCTGACGCCAGCTTCAACAACCACACTCGCCAACTGAATAAGGAGCATTGCTCGCGCTCTTTCTCTTTCTTTCAGGTCTTCAAAATCGACGTGTTGGTGAATGGCAGGCTGCACAGTGTTGAGAAACGCTACAGTGAATTCCACGCCTTGCATAAAATGGTGAGACTTGGCGCATCCCCTTGTTTTGTTGTTATTTGTCACCGTTGAGGAAGACTTCCTTCATAGGGCTTTGTGGTTACGTTTGTAACCTTTTTTTTTTTTTAGCTGAAGACATTAAGATCTTCTGATTGAAAGGGTTTGTTCCAGTAACAGCTAATCAATTTGTGACGCTCCTTAAAACTGGTATTTGATCGTCACTTTAACACGTTCAAGTTAGTTTTTCTGCATCATCTGCAAACCTTGAACAGGATTTATTGCTTCTATTTTATTTTATATAACACACATTAGCAAATTGAGGCCCCTGTATCGCTTCTATTCGACCCTCGGAGTGCTCCAATAATAAAATATTTTACAAAATAATCATATCTTGTGCAGGAACCGTGTAAAACCAAATTCTAAACTAAACATTTCGCATGTTTAAATTGAAAAGTTTTACTTTGTTGGTGGATAAATGCTTTAAAGTGACACTTGTTTTTCATCATTTATGAACTAGCATTAAAATATTTAGTTAGTTCACAGACAGTGGCATTTATTCGAGTTAACTGCTGTGTTTAAAACTGCTGGCGGTCATCTTAAACTGGGTTAACTTCAACTCTTGGTGAGTTGTAGACGATTACGTTCTGAGAGTCATTAAAAGTTGTCCCGTGGTTCACAAGATGTTCTGCTAAAGAGATCCATCTAACAGTTTTTTGTTTTTGTTGCATCCCAATTTTTTTTTTTTTTAGGGTTTAGGTCAGGGCTGTGATAAAGTCCAGATCAGGATTATAAATTTTAGTTGGCTTATTTTCTGTGTCATCAGATAAGTGGTGAGCTTCAGATCATTACCTTTCTGACAGTAATTTTTTCTTCAATTCTCCCATTCAGATAAAAAAAAAAAATTTTTGGGTAAATAAAGTGCCTCCTTTTCTTTTTAAGTCTCCCTTCCATGATGTGCCCGTCACATTTTCAGAAAATATTATTTGAGCTTTTAATCTTAGAACCAAATGTATCTTCAGATATTAAAGTTCAGCTTAAAAGGCAGCAAAAGTTCAACAAACTTTCCTGCAGTTTGGCTGAAGTTCCTCGTTTTGATTTTTATTTCTGGTTTGCTTCTTTAACCTTTCTGGGTCACAAGTCCTTCGATCTTCATTGAATGTTATTTAAATGGCAACCCAGACTGGTCATTTAGGAGATAAATATAAGTTTACCACTGTGCTAATTTAGGATTTTAGCTTTGGATGCCTGTGTAAGTTTGCTAACAGTGTGCGTCCACAGAACCACCGTATGTTTTCTAACAAATTTAAATCCTTCCAGTTAAAGAAAAGCATAAAGCCTCCAGAGATTCCTTCAAAGCATGTCAGAAACTGGGTTCCCAAAGTCCTGGAGCAGAGGAGGCAGGGCCTGGAGCTCTACCTGCAGGTACCATACCCCCCAAATTAGGAGCTGATTTATTTGATCTTTATTTGCTTCTGTCAGATAGACACACACGTTCAAGTTGGTCTCTGTTTGAAATGCGCTTTCTTTTCTGTCAGACTGTAATTATGGAAAACGAGGCTCTTCCCAAAATATTCCTGGATTTCCTCAACATTCGCCATTTTCCTTCAGTGCCAAAAACAGAGAGCTGTGGGTGAGTTGAAACTGCTGGTTTTGCTTCAAAATAAGGGGTTGCTTTTTTTTTTTTTATGTGGGAGTTTAGTTCCCAGTCTGGAGAATCATGTGGCTTAACTTTGATTTCTCCTCTTTAAGGTCTTTTGATACAGAATCAGAGGAACTGAGGTGAGTCGTTGTGGGTTTCCTCACTTGTTTAACCTTTTAAATCCGGTAGAGATTGTTGGATGAACTCTTGAACTTCACCCATCGTGTCGACGCATTAATCCGACGTCTTTTTTTCTTTAGTAAACTGTCTCATCAGCCAGTCATGCTGCATCTAAGAGATCCCTACCTCCTCCCCTCTGCACACGGTGCGTTTCAATCCACATTGTGTTGTTCAACATTTAAAAACGCTTATTTAAATTAACAGTGCATTACTTGAAAAATGTCCACCGCCTTTCCTGTTAGATTTAAATTAAAATTGTCTTATGATGAGTAATGATGAAGTTGTTCTGGTCAAACCTTGCAATGGCATCAGGTGCAACGTGTGTTATGGCTCAGAGTATGTTCTGAGGATGACTCTCAGCTACCACCCCCTTAAACTTCAACTCAGTATTAATGTTGACTGAGTTTTAGCTATTTTTGTCATGCCAAATGTTGATTAGCTGCAGCCATCTTAAATCAGGTTGACTCCAAAAGTTCATGATAGATGATTTAGGTTCTGAGAGTTTAATTAAAGTCTGTCCCCTGGTTTATAAAATTTTTTCGCTAACAGACTGACACAAACGGAAGCAAAACTACATATAAAAAAGGCTAAAAACTACAAATCAGAGGAAATGAGCTGTAAGATAATCTGCAATAATCTTTCTCTCTCCTTTTTAGATGCGTTTTCTAACGTTGTGGTTGAAGGGGTGATACACGGAGTTTTCTGCCCGGACCTTCAGCCGAGGTAGAGCCGCAGAGATGAGCACGAAGGGCGTGTCGCCACGAGCGCGTGCTCCTCACCGTTTTAGGTTTGCATCAGGAAGAACGTGCATGTGAAGATACTCTGAGCCCCGTTTTTAATGCGAATAACAAATACTTGATATTTTTTTAAACTAAAAAGAAGATTCCTGGTTTCAGCAGAAAACGGTCGCATCTTGAACACTAACTTTCATAAATTTACTTTAAAACTCAAAACCTCACAGGCTAAAACATTTGGATCTTTTGGAGTGTGAAAATGTAACAATTTCTGTATTTTTTGGGAAAGTTATGAAATAATTCAGCACACGGAAACAACTGGAAACATCAATAAGGAACTTATTTGTGTAGAAGGAAAAGAACAGGTGTTGTAGAGAGTTTAGTGTGTGAGAGGACACAGTTTCAGGAGCCGCTTTAAGTTTTGTTGCGACTTTTAAAATTTGTCTTAAGCTGCCAAACGGAGCCAGCGGGGGCGATGTGGGTGGATTCTTTCAGGGATTGAAGAACCCATTTGTACGTTCTTGATTTGGACTTTTGTCACAGAACTTCAAATCCCTGTAAAAAAAGCATCGCAGTTTTGACAGACACTGTTCAGCTCGCTTAAAGGTTCTCATTGCAAACTATACAATTAAAGTTATGCTGAACTATGAAATGGTGCACTTTGAACGAATATTCCAAGTAGTTTTCCAGATGTATTGATTTTCAATTCTGAAATGCGGGTACGCACTAGATATAAACAAAGCCCTTGATTAAATCCACCAAAACTCGACCTACATTAGGCGAGCCATAGTCTGGTAATTTCCCACGAAAAGGGTGAAATACACCTTATTTTCAGTTCTGTTGCAATTTAGATCGTTTTAAATACCTATTTGCACACTTTACTCAACAATTCTGTGCTTACACAAGTACATGAAAATTGTCGGACTTCTCCATTCCAAGCGGCTCGTTGAAGGCAGTCGCCATTGCTGACCTTTTAGTAACGAAGGCTGTTCCCAGAGGTAAACAAACATATGGTAGTTGGCAGCTGTTGACAAGTTTTACTTGAACATTTTACATTTAAAATACATTAATTTGACTTTGCAATGAGCACCTTTAAAACTGGAAAATAAAAACTCACATTTCAATAAGCGGCATGACCCAATTGGAGACGGACGCCTTGAAATAAAACTGGACTTAAACTGTTGTGACAGAAACTGTGGGGACTTTAATTCTAATATCCATCAGGTCATTGCTTCCTTTCCTCCCCAGATCCACACACACGTGGCACTACAAGTAGACTTTTAATCCTTCTTGACTCTGATTGTAGCTGTTCTCGTTCAGGATTTAGTGAGTCCGTGTCAGTTCTTTAAATAACCTGCCAAATGAACATACACACTGTAAAATATGAGATGCATGCTTCTTATTTTACACTAAATGTGCTTTATTCAAGATATGATCCACATTTTGTTTGAAATTATTCACACTAACCAGAGACAAATCTAGTTTATAATGTTTAGAGAAGGGATGTGAGAGAAACTTGATCACCAGCTTTGTGTCATCATGTTCTTTGGCACTTGATGACGTGCACAACAATTTTAGCTACGATCACTGTTTTTATTTGTCAGATCAAAGTTTTAGGCTGCTCTTATTGATTTGCTTCTGTACAAATGCTGGCTTGGAAGGTGCAGACACAAGTTATTCATTTAAAACGTCCTAATTTTACATGGAACTCAAACTAAAGACGTATTTAACACTATGGCATTTAAAGGTAAATTAACACATAATAGGCCAGTTGTGAAGTTATTTGAGCTTAGTGATGCATTAAAAAGATGAAAATGATGCTTTAGCTTATGGAGAATTAATAATAAAAAAACACTTGTAGCCAGTAAAATATTGTGCAATATAAAATGAAACAACTCTTCTAGTCCGCAAGTCAAACAAACCTGTGAAACTACAAAACACCTGAAGGTCTGAACACTCGCCAACTCGGGTTTTGTGAAACCTTGTGTTGCACGTGGTTTTGTTTGGACTGTAGTCAACGATCAGTTGTCCGAGCTGCCTTTTACACGAGCAAATTACCCAACACCGATACCTACATGTTTGTAATTAGTGCAAGAAGTCTGAATAACGGACCTCAGCGACAAACTGAACACATGGAGTTGTTGTTACTAAGAAAACTGTTGTCGAAACCTTAATCATGAAAATGTATTTATTTTGTGTAATGTGCTCCGAGTATATAATGTGTTGCCAAACTACAGTGAAGACTGAGATTTACTGTAGCACTTTAAAAAGAAAACTTTGTAAAAAAAAACTGACACTAATAAAAATAAAAAATAAGTCATGATTTCCACAGATTTTTCCTGTCAGACTTTTTTTTTTTATTATTAAATTTATGTATTCCATTGTTTAAAAAAGGTTGCAAATGTTTGCTTTACATTAGTTGTTGTGCTTGTTTCCATCACAATGTAACAAAACTGAATTCCTTGAAAAATAAGTTCAAGAGTCTGAAACCTCAGAACCGTTCAGACTTTTTTGTAGCGGGAATGAACAAATAATATCTTACCTGTTGTAGATGGCTCTTTGAACTAGTCAAGTCACATTTATTTATACAGCACATTTAAAACAGTAACTGTTATCAAAGTGCTTAACAAAAAAGATCACAGCATCAAATATTATTAACACTACTTCAATTTTGATCACAGACTTGAAAATAAACACTGGACACCAAACGGAAACCTGGGAGTTGGTGTAGAGGGGATACAGAGCAGTCCCAGTAAAAGTTTTAGTTCGCCATTTTGTGTAGGCGGGACTTAAAACCTCTCATCCCTCGAGTTTAGTGAGCAGACTCTGGTGCTTAAAAATCAGTTCCCATAAACAGGGTTCTGCTGGGTTCAGCTCCCAGAGAAGTTTGTTTGAATATTTCTTTACATTTTTATGATTCTGACCAGATTGATGAGCTAATGGCTAGTCCAAGAGGTGTCAAGACCCAGGTGGGTTGCCGCCGTTTTAAATCAACTCCAATGTCACAAGATTTCATAGTGGCTTCATGCAAACGCTATTATGGAAATCCACTTAAATTTTGGAGCTGCTGTTAGCCGTTAGCTTATCATAGCTAATCAATATTTCTCCAAACGGACCATAGGCAAGATATTAATTGTTCATAACATTTCCACAAACCCCACTTCAAATAATCTGAACTATCCCGTCAAGAAACAAAACCCATTCAGTCGCCTGCTTTCACGTCATTCTAAAAACATTAATAGCTCAACGTGCTAAATAGAAAATCTTCCTTCAGATTATATAATGCCCCCAAGTTGTGACGTCATCACTCATGACAGAACACAATCATGAACATACAGGATTCTGAATCTGAAACGTTAAGCATTTCAGAGGACCTAAAATATAAAAAAAAAATTAAGAATGTTTTGATCCTTTGGATCCCATTCAGTAACAGTCCAGTAGTCAACTGGTCACACACATCAACTGGAATGTGTGTTTCAGCGCCCAGAGTTCATTTACTTTTAGTTTTTTTTTCCCGATACTTCTGTACCAGCAAGTTTACTTTTAAAGTTCTCCGTGACCAACTTCATCTTTGAGCTGCTCAACCTGGTTGTCTTCTGTTTGGGGTTCTTTCATGTTGGCGAAGTCAACTTCTCTTCTCAGCTGGTCCAGAGGAGGAAGACCAAACAGCAAGTTTCGAACAGCGATGGCCGTCATCAAGAAGCTACAGGATAAACAGTTAAAGGGTTATTCTGGTCAGTTGGACACAATCTGAGTTCATGACCTGTGACGTCAGAGCACTCACCCCCTGCGTACTGTGTAGTACTTTTTAACAGTAAAGCGTTCCAGTCGCTCCGTCACACCAGCCTCCCTGCGCTTCTTCACCTCCTTCAGCCGACGCTGCCTCTTCAGGAAGAGCTTCACAACGGGGTCGGTTGCGTTGACCTCTGCCTTCTCGTCGTCGTCTGCAGCCATGAGAGGCTGCAGCTCAAGAGGGAGAGGCTCCGTTTCTGTAAAAGTGAAACCGACTGCTCAGCGTTTGATAGGACCGTTTCAAGATACATGTTTTTTTATTTTTGTTTTATTTGCTGTATTTTTGCCGCCTTTTGCTACTTTTAACTAGAATTCCTCTGCTTTTTTCTTGTATTTTCGTACTGTTTAGCTTTTAGTTTTAAGGTAGATTTTAGCTAGCATTCTGCTACCTTTAGGCTAGCGTTTTGCTATTTTTAGCCTTTTGCAACTTTTTTCTAGTCATTTTTACTTTTAGCTAGCCTTTGGATACTTTTACCTATTTATTTGATACTTTTATTTTTAGCTAGCACTTATCGGCAAGTGTTCTGCTTCTTTTAGCTTTTAGCGTTCTGCTTCTTTTAACTGGTGTATCAATTTCTTTAGCTTTAACAACTCTGTTTCAGCTCCAGCAGCAAATTTCAGCAGTCATTCTGCACTCAGCGGTAACAACTTTTCTAGTTTTAAATATTGTAGATGCATCAGCTCAACAATCTTAACAGTAACCTCAAATGTAGACAGAAGAAACCCCACACCCCGAGCAAGAGTCCAACTGGAATTATACAGAGACTGGTCACCTGTTCCATTGCGAATGCGCTCCTGCAGCTCCAGCAGCTTGGTGAAGTTCTGCTGCAGCGCCGCCTCTGTAGTGTTGACATACACGTACATGTAGCAGGAAGGGACGTCAGATGTGGTGTACACCTTATGATAAGCCCCTGCAGGAACCTGCACACAACAGGGTTACAGCAAATAAACACTAAAGTGTTGCACTGTCAAAATGACAAATGATGTTCAAAAACACTATATACTTTTATGCATAATGTATTGTTATCTATTCCTTCTTTCCTCTTAGTATTGACCACATCTATTTTCCAACTAATATTCCAGATGGTTGATTGGTGCATATCCTACAAAAATACATAGTCTTCCCAAAGACACAAGTGAGAATTAGTGAATTCAATGAACAATTTATTTTAATATGTAAAGCATAAAATGTGCTGCTGATGGTGATTATGGAAGCCCTAGTTTAAAACCCTTTTAAAGCAGTCGCTGCTCCTCTTTCATGGTTCACTCAGACCAAACCGGCTCAAAGCTACATCATCGTGTGCTTACGCAACAAGCTATCATTTGTTAGAGCAGCTTAAACACTGTCCCCCACTTCACACATACATGCCAACCCAGCTCTGTGACTACCTGTGTGGCTCCAGTGGAGCTATTTCAACCCCCCTTCCCCTCACCCACCTCTGTACTTTCACACATTACTCCGAAGGCAGATCAGATTCAGTTTGAAAAGCAGCAGTGTGTAACTGTACCTTTGTCTGCTCACCAGGCTGCAGAGTGTAGTTCTTTTTCTCCTCCACAATCTCAACGTTCACTTGCCCCTGTAACACGTGGATGCTGGTGTTGCCCAGATCGTCATTCAAAAAGTTTTCCAAGTGGAGGCCTGAAATGCAACATGTCATTTAATATCCACTCTTTCTACTTTAAAGAAAAGAAGGATAAAGAGGGTTAGCAACCTGGGAAATCAGCAATGAAGACGATCTCAGTCTGGTTGTCCAAACTGCCTTCGATCTCCTGGAACTTGGTCCTCCAGGGAGAGAGGTCCACCAGCAGAGGCATCAGCCATGGATTTGGTTTGAACGGCGACCAATCAGCCTTCACAATGTCCACACGGGGGTCAAAGATTCTTCAAGAGGGGCCAAAGACAAATTCAAACTTCACACTCTTAGCATAAAAACATTTCTGTCTGGCTAAAATGCTCTTATACCTTTGCTGGAAGCGTTCATTAATAGATACCCAGATATCAAAGTAGATTTCAGGATCAGAGATATTATAGGTCGGCAGCAAGCCACTGAGACACGTAGCATACTGCTTCAGCATGTCTCCATGATCTTTCCAGCGACGACTGTGTGTGAACACCTACACAACATGGGCAGGAATGGTTTAAAAATTAACTAAAACAATCAGCTGAGCAAGATCTGGGAAAAAGGCAACCATGATAAGAAGCACAAAAAAACAATAACATGTCATTTATTACATTCTGGACTGTAATAACATTTAGGTTAGTGGTATTTGATGTTAAAGTTGATCCTTATCTAACAGATGCTTTAAACTATCCCTTACATACTTTTTTCCTCACTCACTCTTGTACGAGGCGGATGCTTCTCTTCCCTCTCACTGTTCTCCTCCTGCCTTGTTTGCTCTCCGTCTGTGTATCGGACCTCCTATTTTTTCCACACCTTCCGAAATGAAAACTACTGTTCTGGATCTGATCAGGTGGATTTTCAACACAATCGACAAAATCTTTTCAACAAAACGACAGGGTCCTGGAGAACTCATGTTCTGCTGAGAATCTCAGGAGGACACCAAGACATATATAATCGGATTTATGATAACAGGTTTCCTGCTTTTTGGAATTGTCTGGTTCCTGGTCTATCAATATACAAGAAAACAGCTGCAGCTAATTTGACCCTCGTCAGGCTGCCTGCTTGTGAAGGTTAGGTTTGTGCTATGAGGACTCAGAATCAGCTGATTTACGAGCTAAACCGTAAGATGGAAGTGATTTGTGAGAATCGCAGGCCAACTGCAGCCTTGGGACTCACCAGAATGAAACGACTTTGGAGGAGCTCGTAAGAACGGACCAGTAGAATGCACCCTAATCTGGCCATTTTGGATCTTGAAAGTACCAGTAAGACTCAAGGCTGACAAGAAAAGACAGTCTGCCTGAAAAAAATCAACAGTTGTGGCATATCTGAATCTGACTCCCCTGGTTGGCGTCAAACAGGCCGACTTCTCCTGGGAAATGTGTAAACTAAGGAAAAGCTTTATCCCCCCCCAAGAACTTGCTGGCAGAGTTTTTTTTATGTCTTAAAATCGTGTCTTAATTGGACAAGGTGTGAAGAGATCTTTTTTGTAATGCCACTATCCTATCCTCATGGCTTTGTCCCCTTTTGTATCTAATAAAGTATTCTGAAAAGGATAAGAGAGCGCGCTATCATAGCAGCAGCAACGTGCACTCTACCCATCTTTCGGAGGACTGTACGGACATATTCTCGCTGTATTTCGGTACAATGATAATAAAGCTTATTCTGTTACAGTATATTTCCCTACAATCTCACCCCTGGGTTCAGATATCCGACTTCACCAGTTTTCCCATCTTTGTAGGTGATCTTGACGTGCTGATGGCTGCGAGAGTGAACCATCATGTCCCAGGAGTAGCCATACAAACCACTGGTCCAGTTATTATAACCCTGGATAAAAAACGGAAAACTCTTAGATGAATTTAAAAGCAACAAATCACCTCTCATTTGGAATTACAGCCAAGAAAGTAAAAAAAAAAGAAGCAAAAGTTTAGGTTTCAAAAACTGAGTGTTGACTCTTTTTTTTCTTCCAGAGTTTCAACTGAGATCCTGTTTGCTGTGAATCACTGTTGACTCTGATTGAGCAACTACTACTGCGTCAACTCAGGGAGGGCTTAAAGCTTTTAAACTCTCTCCGAGTTCACTGGAAAAGGCAGAAAAATCTCTTTATAAAGAAAACCACTTACTTTTGTGATGAAGTGGGAGTATGGCATGAAGAACTGCTCGATTATATAAAGAATAGTAAAAATAGCGGCCAGCTTGTGTTTAAGTCTCAGTTTTGGGGGTTTGGCGATGTTCTGTGTTGCCTGCTGTTCTGTGCTCTTGGGGTAAACACAGGAGGTGCTGGGCTGAAGCTCTGATGATGTAAACGGCAGGATTTCGCTGAGAAAAGATGGGAAACGGGCGAAGAACCTTCTGGGCCAATCTGGGTAGCAGAAGAGGGAACTGGTGGACAGCATGGTGTAGGAGAACATCCCTGAGGAGGATCAACAACCTCAATAAGATTCAGGTGAAATGATGCAACGTGGATTAAAAATCACACCTTAGAGAAAGAGAGAAGCAAAACACTAACCAATGCTGAAAAGCTGAGAGTTCATGCAGTGGAAGTACGACACAAAGAAAAATGCAAATGGCCGCGTTGCATCGAAAAACAGCAGATAGCCAGCAGTCAGATCCAGAATAAGACCTCCTCCATGTATGACCAGCAGACTTACTAAATCCACAGGAAGAATTAGTCTGAAAATATAAACAAATTTTATAATGAGATCAACAAAAAGTGGTCAAAGAACGTAAAAAAGAAAAGAACACCAACTTAAAAGGATCAAAAAGCCAGTGGTGAGCCAGATACGACATGGAGTATCCCTCCACCCAGTCTGCATCCAGTTTTTTTACTCCAGCGATGAAGTACACTATAAAAATCTTCAAAGAAGGAGAACATGGCCGCCATTAAATCAGCTGTTTTCACAATGTGTGCATGAATAATTCACAGCTCCCACAAACCTGTGTCCTCAGCAGGGTGTAATTCCAGAGAGGCACGTGAGCATTTCTTATAGAAGGCCTTCGCAGTCCATCTATCGACCTACAAATACGCACAAACACGAATCAGAAAAGAGCAAACACACGCAGGTAGAGTAATAAGCATCACCTCACCAATATCTGTTGCCGTCCATGATTGTGAGCTGAAAACTAATGAGGCCGTAGAGATACGAGTGGTTGTTCCAGGTTGTTTTGTCCAGGAAGAAGACGTACCAGTACGTCGAGATGAACATGAGACACGAGAGGCGGTAGAAACAACCAAGCATGATGCCCAGAGCTCCTTCAATTAGAAACAAAAACTTCAATCAGTTGGATCAATTTTTCTTTTTTTTTTATTAATTCTCTACTGAGAGTAGTCCCACAGGACAAGGCAAACCAGAGTGCTTTTAATGAATTGCCCAGTTTAGTCTATGTGTTAGTTTTATCTGTACCATAAGTAAAATATCCCAATTTATAATCTGAGTGCTAACTGATTGCGTAAGATCTGCATTTAAAACCTTTGCACTAACTATTAAGAGCAACAGGAAAATTTCAGACGTGAGAGTGCAGGTATGTGCGTTTATCCCTGCAGTCAAGCACCCCTACAGAAATTTCCCTATAAAAAGAATCACTCCATCTGCTCAGACTATAATAAAACGGTGAGGAGTGACGCCTAAACTTTATCGCAAAACTAAGGACGTAACCCACCAAGGAACATCACCAGGTACACCACGTACATCCAGTCAAGCGGCAGCGGCTTCAAGAAATTAAAGAGAGGAAAGCGACACACAGGGGCTCCATCCAGATACTTGTAGTCCAGATGACTGAGACCCCGCTCCTGTGTGACGTCAATTGCCATCAGCAGACCTGCACATAGCGCAAACAGTGTAAACAGCTATTGTTGTGCAATAATATAAACACAGCAAAGTGCATTTATTTACCAAACAAGCAGCGAAAGATGCCCAATGATGCAGGGTCAGTGGGACGGTTCAGGAGGGTCACCAGGCTCTCCCAGGAGCTCAGGTCCTCCTTACTAAACCCAAAGATCTGCTTCATCCTGCTTTTGGTCTGTGGTTTAACTGCTTTAGATGTTGCCAGTTCTGTTGTCGCGTTTTCTCCTCCATCACTGCCAACAAAAGCCCCTTGAAGTAAAACATAATTTTTTTTTATGGGATAAACACGATCTGAATGAACTGAATGTGCTTTACTGTATATATAAATAAATAAATAAATCCCTGCTAGGTTTACAAAATGTTCTGCTCTTGTACAGCTGTGGTTTAAAACACAGCTTGTTAAATAATGGTTTAATTCGTAATTACAGTAAATTAGGAACTTCTACTTTTCTGTCATGCAAGCAATAAACTCACCTGCTATGGCGTCTGTTGTCTCCATGGCGTTACTAAAAGCTGGATTTTAATTTGGGACAGTGGAGCTCTTGTCGCTGCTCTCCCTGCCCCAGGTGGAGGTGTCATGCGTGGGCAATGACCGCCAAAGTTTACGTGTCACAGCTCCACACACAGGCTGAACGGGCAGAAAGGAGGAGGAGGAGGAAGCCAGGAAGAGTTTGGGAGAGAATGGAATGTTGTGAAAGAGATTCTTCTTCGTGTAGACTTTCAAGGCGGTTGGCAAACAACGGAAGTTACGCATTACCGCCACCTACTGATATGGTGTAAGAAAAAGAGGTTCTCGCTGCTGATTGGCTAATATCTACTTTGGGCCCGCCTTTTGTTACGTCATATCCGATAATGTCCTCTGGGCTTGCAAAATAAAATGAAATAAAATCATGAAAAATACAATAATAAATGTAAAGATTACGGAAGAGGATTAGGGCCACGGTGCATTTTTTTCCCTGAATTCTGACTTTAATCTCAGAATTCAGATTTTTTTTTTTTAATTATGAGAAAAATGCCAAAATTCTTAGTCAAAATTCTGAGATTAAAATCAGAATTCTGACTTTATCTAATTCTGAGAGAAAAATAGTCCGAGTTCTGAATTTTTTTCACCGTGGTCTTATTCCTCTTCCATACTAGAGTTCAGTTGCATAAATTATGTTATCTCTTGAAAGCATTTGTATAGATAAGGACAGTCACATAATAACCGATTACTGTAAACTGAATTGCTTTTCACTCTGGCTGGGTAAATAAAAGACAGCAAGTTAAAAATCAGTCTTGTTCTCCTATTTTTTAACTACAGTATAGAAACAATTAAATTATTAAAACACATTTTTATTAATCTTCAAACTCCTTTCAATTTTGTTCGAAAGTCTTATGAGCTAAACTAATTATTGTCATATTTTTTTCAGTGTGTCATAGTTGTGACCAGGCAAAATATTTTTTTAAAAAATATTTATTTATTTTGAGGTACATACATTAAATCAATAAGTTAAAAAGTCAATGTTGACGCTGAAGTCTCTTGTTACTTCCATTGTTTGACAGTAGGGGGCAACATAGTGCGCACTTGTCGCATCAATGACTAAAAAAAAGCGTTGCTAACCGCCGAGAGAAGAAGAAGAACAAAGCTCTGCCTGCTACATTATTTGTAACATCTCTCTTCTCTGGATTCACATTCATCGTTATTTAAAATAAAATGTAGCGGCGGGAACCAAATAAAATTTTGCGGTCCGGAGGCTTTCTCAGGGCAGCAGCCGGCGAGGAAAGACGCTGTTCTCTTCTCATTCTTGTTTTTGTTGACGAATTTGTTAGCTCAGCTGCTAGCTTTTTGGTTAGCTCCTCTGTTTTTCAACTGACTGGTCAACGTTGGACAGAGAAAATCAGCCGTGTTTTTCGTCCACTTCAAATCATCCCCCAGCTTTAGTTGCCGAAATCCTCAGGTAACTCCTTTCTTTTTCTGGATATCTGAGTTATATGTAATGAATTACACTTTACTCGGAGTTTAGCATCATCCACTACTAATAAACACTATATTTTCTAACTATACAATCACTTCAAGTGCCAACAAAAGTTATTTCCCTTTTTCTAATCAATAATTTGCCAATATTTCCATATTCCATATAGATTTTTTAATCATGGATGGACCAAAAGAATTAATATTATTTATGCACATTATTTATATATTGATATTTCCTGCAGATTTGATGTGATGCTAATATGTCTCAGCATTATTTAGATAAATTTACATAAATGTAGACTATTTTATAAATCAAATTTAATTAAATTCTACGTTATAATGCAGTTTTTAGTTCAGTTTGCTAAATGACAAAAGCAACATTGTTAAAAATCGATCTAAAATTTAATTGTTAAATCAGTAAATTGGAAAGATTTAGTTTGTTTCAGGCTTCACAAGTGTGCAACTTTTTAAATGTTAATTTAAAAAGCAAGTCATACTTTGTCATTGTTTTCCATTTGAAACTGCAATGAGTTTTTTTGTTTACAATACACTAAACAGTCAATCAAAAAACATTAATGCACTGTTGTAATAGGATATCTAGAAACATATGTTGAAATAGAACAAAGTTAGAAAACAACCATAACACCAGCTACTTTTGACTTCGATTGAGGACATTGGAACCAGAAATTAGTGCATAGTTGATCTGACCTGTATTCTATAATGATTCTTGTATTTTCTGATAAAAGTTTACCAGCATCTCTTTCTTTAAGGAGTAGATTAGACAGAGTTCTGGAGCATAAGCATGATATGAAACAAATGTTTTATGGTCTTTACTGTTACCTAACAACTAATTAGGAGATATGTTTCAGAAGAATGTTCCATCCCTTTGAGGCATCCAACACTTTTCAAATGACTGCTATGTCACTGAAGCTGTTCTGACACCTGACCTGCTAACCTACAGTCAACTTCCTATTATCTCAGTAGTAAAATACTAAAGTCTCAGCTTCAAATGGATTTATATTTAAAGCTCTTTTATGATATAAATGTGCAACATCGTTGATCGTGGTTGATAGCTGTTGCTTATTTTTCTATTTTGTTTTCTATAGCGATGGGAAGCCTGGGCAGCAGGTTCCAATCCCCATCTCAGGGACCAGAAGAAGCAGCAGAGGGTACAAACAGCAGTCGCAGGCATAGCTGCGAGTGTAAAAAGAGGAAACGAAATGCTCAGTGCGACTGTGAAAGTGAACAAGAGGAGGAAGACGACATACTAGATACGCCCCGCAGGTAAGTTCAGTCAACACCTTTAATTCAGTGTCCTTTTCTTTCGCTCACTTGAATTTTCTGTCTGCCTTTGCTTTGTGTTCTGCGTGAGCAGGAAGAAGTTAAAAAGCACGTCAAAATACATTTACCAGACCTTATTTCTTAATGGGGAAAACAGTGACATTCGCATCTGTGCCCTCGGGCAGGAGTGGAACCTCCACAAAGTTTATCTCTGTCAGGTAAAATAAAAAAGCACATTTGTAAAAATAATCAATGTGAGTTCTGTGTCTTAAATTTAATATTTCTCTATTGCTCTTTCCCATCATTGCTCCATTTTACAGTCGGGGTATTTCTCTAGTATGTTCAGCGGCTCTTGGAAAGAGTCCAGCATGATGGAAATTAATTTGGAGATCCCAGACCAGAACATTGACACTGAAGGTGAGAGTCACAAAGAGAGCTGCTTTAAACGTGTTTAGAAGTTACCAACGACTCTCTCTCTTCGTTTGTGCAGCTCTTCAAGTCGTGTTTGGATCCCTTTATCGTGACGATGTTCTGATCAAGCCCAGCAGGGTCATCAGTATTCTTGCTGCTGCTTGTATGCTGCAGCTGGTCAGTGCATTAAAAGTGATATTCTGCAATCTGAACTGACCATGCAGATTATGCAGAAGTGCTACCAAAATGGTGGAAAACCTAATCGAGTTTCTTGGTGTTAATGGTGACAGGATGGCTTGATCCAGCAGTGTGGCGAAACCATGAAGGAAAACATCAGTGCAAAGACTGTGTGTGGTTACTACGCTTGTGCAAGCATCTACGGCCTGGATTCAGTCATGAAAAAGTCAGATTTTACACACAATTACAAATGTTACAGTTTTATTATTAGACATATTTATAATGTATATATGTCTTTCTGCAGGTGTCTTGAGTGGCTTCTTAACAACCTGATGACCCATCAAAATGTCGATCTAATGAAGGAACTTGGGTTTGTGTGATTCTTGTTTTCTGCATTTTCCTATCAACACAATTGTGACTTATATTACTTAAATGTATCTATGTGCATATACATGCAGTGATACATTGCAGATTTAAAGATGAGATGATGTGGGGGCAAAATGTATCTTAATCTATGCAGCTGCAGTTTACAAAAACAGTCACAGTGTCACTGTGTTTCTGTTCTGTGTCTGCAGGGTTGACGTGATGCAGCAGCTCATCCAGTCCTCAGACCTGTTTGTCATGCAGGTGGAGATGGATGTTTACACTGCTCTGAAGAAGGTAGAAGGAAAAGAGTCTTTTCATGACAGACTTGTTAGTGTGGTCTGATTTTATCCTGTGGTTTTCAACCATTACCTTGTTTTTCCTGCAGTGGATGTTCCTGCAGCTCAACCCGTTATGGGACGGCCCGATCAAGCAGCTTCTGGCCGACGCCGACGCCTGGCTTTGCAAACGCAGAGCAGGTAATTCCATCTACTCAAACTGTGGATTTATGTTGTGTTTGTTGTCAATCAGTCTTTTTTTATTAAACATTTGTTCACAGACCTGTGTGAAAAGGAGCCGTTCTTAAACACAGAGGAGGGAGCTCCTTTTCACTCGGTGTTCAAGCTTGTGCGTCTTCAGTATATCATCAACGATCTGGCATCTGCACGCATCCTGGAGAGAGACAATATTTTACCTCCGGGTTTGTGTTTGACTCATTATCAACATTCTTCACTTCCTTCTTTTTATGTATTATTATGTGTTTTTAATTTAATGTACAACATATGTTTATATGTATGTTTATGTTCCTATTTTATGTTTTAGACTGGCTAACAGCAATGTACAAGAACCAGTGGTTTGCCATGCTCCGGACAGAATTTGACAACGATAATGGGTGAGAAGCAGAAAATGAACTTCTGTAAGGAGCTTTTAGACTCTGGTTTTACATTATATGGCGTTCAAATGTTATAAGCATGATGCTTTCTTTGTATTTTCAGTCCTCAAGAGCCCAACAAAGAGGAGTTTGAGTTGAACAGTATGAGATGTGGCAGGAAATTGAGTAAAGATGGAGATGTGAGTTTCACTGTTGCAGTTTGCCTTCACTAGTTTTTTTGTTTTTGTTCTTTTGCACAAAAATAACTGATATTTTCTTTTTTGTCAGTACTGCTGGCGGTGGACGGGCTTCAACTTTGGGTTTGACCTGCTGGTGACTTACACAAACCGGTTCATAGTTTTTAAAAGAAATACCCTGAGTCAGCCATGTGGGGGCGCTGTTAGTCTACAACCTCGAAGACATCTTGCTTACAGGTCAGACGTTTTTAATTAAAAAAACTAACATGAATAGGAACTGAATTGTCTAAAACACTCGTATATAAGCAGATAAATATTTACGCATGCATCATTTACTAAAGTTAGTTTAAAATCACACTCAGTGTCATTTAAGTCGCTACATTTCAGTTAAGTTTGACATTATTTTTCTTAGGCATTTGGAGAAATATGCTCTTTCGTTTTCTCGTTAACTTTGATTTACCCTTAATAGTAGTATAAATAGTATATGATGCTCATTCTGCTTCCTCATCACGAGAACAGTCCGGTCATAACACCAAAGCTAACTGTGCTGTAGTTCACAAAACTTCAACACAAGAAGCAGAAATCAGATGGTCTTAAAACAGAAACATTGTTTCCAATGAGCAGAAAAGAGGAAGATATTGTGATATTTAAAAGAGAAGTATATGGTAATTATTTAGCCATTTAGTAATGTTACAACCAAAGTAATTCTTCCACAAAAACCTTCCTGCTACAAACTGTCTTTTAGTGCATCGACATTTTGTTTTGTCAGGAAAGACCTGGATTGCATGGTGTGGCTTTACGCTGTGTTCATTACGTCATCCCATCATTACACATATAAGCTCAGTTTGTTATTGTTCCATTTCTACAGACAACAAACATAATAGAGCTAATGGTTTATTAAAATTATTGGAAAGCAGCTGTACAGAACCTGTCAGGTGCTGTAGTTTGAAATAAAACAAAAGTTGTAATAATCTAGTCCCTCAGTTTCAAAGCACATGCACACTCGATTTGCTAACAAGCATTACTCTGACTGGAAATGAGCATTTGGATTTTATAACATTTCAAATTATATAAATATTCTTAGGATTGTTAGCTTTAGAAGCTTGTAAAAATCCCACCATCTCTTAATGTCAGATATTAAACAATTCACTACAGCATCATTTGAATTAAAACAAGTCTTATTCTGGGCCCTTAGGAACCATACGTAAAGAACAACAAAGATACAAATTCTCCATAATTATAGAGTTGGACATGTTTGTAATTTAACTGTTGAAATGACAGAAAACACCGGTGTTTGGATCATAAACATCTGATGTGATTTTTGGGATAACACAGACACAAATATAGATGGTACTGAATATTTTAGCCAGATGTTGCAGTTTGTGGAAGTCCCTAAACACGTGTTTCGCTTGCAATGTTGCTGATTTTTGTTCCTTGCTGTACATGAAATATCAGAATTATAGTATAGTAATATATTCTGGCAGGCTCTGTTAAACCCGTGCTGCTTTTTCTAAAGATTGCTTGAGTATGACTGTCTGCAAATAAAGCAGACAAGCGATTTCTCCAAATGATGTTTCTTTTTATTCTTCACAACCAAACCACAGTGCATCTTCAAATTGTTTTGGTCTCAGGTAAAACATTAAGTTAACTTTGACTGTTCTTATTTTGTAAAGGTTACGTCTCGCCTCCTTTGATAGCCGAGGGAAACTGGTCTGCAGCCGCTCAACAGGTTACCAGCTCCTCACCTTGGAGAAAGACCAGGTCAGTGATGAGCTCAGCTGTCTCTGTGTTTTAGTGCAGTCCGTAAACTTTCTTTGTATTCATTTTTCCCCTTCTGTCCTTCAGGAGTACGTGGTGATGAACCTGGACAGCCGGTTGTTATCATTCCCTCTCTACGTGTGCTGTAACTTCCTGTATACTTCCTCTCTATCAGACCACCGTCCAGATTCCTCTGAACAAGACGGCACGGCTCGTGTCTTGATACCGTCTCAATAAACATGAACTGCCGCCATCCCTGTGGTGAAGTGGAAACACTGATGCCGTCTTAGATTTACAATCAAACACCACTTTCACTTTGGACAACATCTGCATGCTCGATTATTTTTTTAGCTGACCGGGGACATTCTTTACACTTGCAGGGGGTTGGCACAATCTGAGTTAGCCTTTTCTATACTGGGTTTACAACATAACAGACACAAGAAGGATCAGACCAACCTTTACGCTGATCTGTCTGCTCCGTGCTGCTGGACCACTTTTTAAGATAAAAATCCTCCCAAGTCTTCTAGAGGTTTAAATCTGAGAGCTTTACAGCTACACGTGAAGTCCAGTGAGTCAAATTCATTCAGACATCTGTCTTTAATTTGAAAAAACTCTGGATGAGATTTATCCAAGTAAATATTTAGAAATATGTGAACTTCATAAGGTTGAACGGCGTCGCCACATTTCAGTTTGTTGCCTGATTTGACACTTGCAGAAAACAATTATTCTACCAGCTTGAATCGTGGTTTAATTTAGTAGATTTATTAAAAAATATAAATTCAGGATTTGCAGAAAATACAACCAGGCATGCGTCTCAGTTGTGGCTTTAATCCTTCCATGACAAAAACAGTGAAAGCAACAATGCAGGGGGTAAAAAAAAGGGACTTCCACCTCATATTTACTGGCGTGTTAAGACGTGTTGAAATGATATGAAGTCAGGCCAAATGTCCCAGGAATTTGTTGTTCTTGCGACTTAAGGCTGCAGAACATTTTGTGCTTTACCTCTTTTTAAACTTTGTGATGTTCTGCGTTTTGTTAGGACTCAAAGATGCTGAAACACGTCATATTTCCACACTTTTCACAGTATTTACTTGCTACACTGTCGCTGTTGTTCAACCCGATTGTCTTTTGCAGCTGAGCTTTAGTCACCGTTTGGCTCAGTGGAACAAAATCTTAGAATTTACTTTAATTTCAGTCGTTTTGTTCAAAATGTGCTTTTATTTACCTGCCATTACCTTGTTGTTTTGGAAAGCAGGGGATCCTCAGTTGTAAATCCGACATACTCCCACCTCTTCAGGATCTTGGTATGGCTCATCTGTACAGCTGCAATTGTTCAGTTACACTCGTTTTTACTTTGTTTAGCTGTTATTTATTTTTTTACGTTCACTGTATTTTTATGGATCTATTTTCTTTGCTGAGGAAGTTTAAAGCTCTACTGCTAATAAAACCGCCCCTCGACAAGGGCCGTGGTGCTATCACATGATGGTTTTTATTCCAAGTCTGATAAATGTGTCTACATCAACACTTTGATCTAACTTTTCTTATAAATTACTTTATTGCTTCTATAGTGGTTGTTAAAGTGTGAAACACCCAATATATAATTATTTGCAGCTCAGTCTGACTTAATATCAATCTAGTCCTCAGGCAATCACTACCGTTTCTCACACCATGATATTCAAAAGAATGAGAATAATTGATTAAAAATAAGAGTTAGAAAACTATTTTGTGGTATGCAGAGCGAGGAGTAATGCAACAAAAATCCAGTTTTCAGTTTTTTTAATACATAAAAATGAACAGATCTGAGCACGAGAGGTTGAGACGACAGAATAAACACTGGATAGCTCGTTAAATTCACCATGAATGTCTTTGACACACACAAGACATAAGGAACATTCCTGAATGTCTCTCTTTATGCAGTTAAATTAAGACCTAATATCAAAATCTTTCACAAGACTAAACGTCGAAGTCTTTGAACTTCACGCTGTTTTGTGGTTCTAGCTCTGAATTCCTCGGGTCTCTAACCCCGGACTGCTGTTTGTCCATCTACTCATCCAGCCCGCCTCGAAGACCGACTTAGCTTGTCCAAACTGTCCCTTACTGCTGTATAGAGTCCAAATTCTCCTTGAGTCTGCGGGTCATGCTGGGGATCAGGTTAATGTGGTCGTCAACACAACTGCCCACACAGCGGTCCATGAGCGAATGAACAGCCGGCTCCTTTGCACCGGAGTCAACAAGATCCTTCGCCTTATCGTTGCAGTGCATCGTGCATCTCATCAGACGATCCTGAGGACAAGGAGGAGGGTTTCTACTTCAGAAAGTTACAGGAGTTCAGCCTCGAGATCAGTCACGAGAATTTGATTCTTCTCGTTTTACAAACATGAGAAAAATTAAGGTTTAGGTTTTCCTCCATAACATCAGTCTTATACAAGCTTTTGGATGCAAGACACCACGAACGTTTAGACCTAAATCTTGATCCTGAAGCAAGAGGTGATGCCGCAGAATGCTGACATCACATATTCTGTTCGACATCTTGCAAAAACTTTCAAACCACAGAACTGAGCCAAGTTCTTTAAACTTAACTTATCTGATAAATGCTTTAAAAAGGTTATCGTTTATTCTTTATCCAGTGAAGTATGGCCACATACCAAAAACTAAACGATTATATGACTATTCTTCATTTAAACAAAGTCATTCTTTTTTCTTTATTTCCTAATGGTCAACTATAATTGATAATTATTATGGAACAAGTTGAAAGATGAGTTCCTGCTCAGATTTGTAGTTTTACCCTTTAAAACATATTAATGGTCTAAGAGATAAAAGCATGGGCTTAAAGGAAGAGAATTAATAAACTCCATCTAATATTAAAAATCTTGTTTAATATGTTCCTAACGTAGCATTATTATTTTTATGCTCATAGATGTCAGGTTTACATGTGGTTCCTATAGTTTCTAAATGAGTAACAAGAGGCAGAACATTCAAGATTCAGGCTCCTGTCTTGTGGAGCCAACTTTTGTTTGTTTGTCTGTGAGATCAACGCTTTTGTTTTTTAATCCTATAGTTAGGGATGGCTTGAGTTTCCTGAGCTATCCTTTAGTTAAACTCCTATAAGTCTAGACTGGTAAAGGACAAAGTGAAATTTCTTAACTCTGTTGCTGCCTTTACTCTCCACGTTTGTTTTTTCCAATTATTGCAGCCATTCACTTGTTTTTCTTCCCATAGAAACCGCACATGGACCAATAGCTGCTATGTCCATGTCTCTTTCCTGTCTTCTCAAACCCCAGCAGGTTGAGGCAGATGACCATTCATCCTGGGTCTGGTTCTGCTGAAGGTTTTTTTTCCTGTTAAAAAGTCATTCCTGTTCATTATCACCAAAGCGCTTTAAATCTGAATCCATTGCCATGAGATGTCATGTGATGAGAGTGACTTCTGTTGCGAATTGGCACTTATAAATAAACTGAATATTGAATAATGCTTTTGTCCACTTTAAATTCAAATTTTTACTCTCACCTACATCTGGTTTATACTGTCCAGATTTGCTACCACACACTCTTGACATACCAATCTAAAAACTATAAAAGTTGCACTACTTTTATCCATTACCATCCCTGCATAAACACGTTTTTAGTTGATGTAAAGATCCGTGAGTGTGCAGAGTGAAGACCGTGTACCTCACCTGAAACTTCTCCAGCTCTGAGGTGACTATTCCCTGAGCCTGAGCCAGAGGAGTGCGACACTTGTCGATACACTGATGCATCCGAGTCATGGAGTCTGAGGTTCTATCACAGCAGTCTGCACTGCACCTGAACATCCGGCCCTGCAGCAGGAAGGTACATATATCAGTAGGACATATTCTTCTGTAAAGGAGTACAATACATAATATATGACATCTACCTGCATCTTCCGGATGTGGTCTCTCTCCAGACTTTGGACCATTTCTTCGACCACATTCGAAACGCGTGCCTGATGTGCCTCTGCCATCTTCACTCGGTTTGAACACTCAAAAAACCCGTAAAAAATAAACTCTTAAAACGGGTTCCCAAACTAAATCAGACAGAACAGAACTGCTAAAGTGGAAAAGTAATGTCTTCTAAGAAGCTGTCGCTAAGTTTATGTACAATTTATTATCTAAGGTCACCTCCATTCAAGCATGTTTCAAGACGAGAGACTTGCGTCACTTCCGCTTGTCTTCCGCCTCTCCTGAATAACTTCCGCTTCCAAACAGCTCCGGCAACTTTCAAAATAAAAGATGATGTTCCATTATGAGTGAAAACTGATAGTAAAAGATGTGAGACAAACGAACGCTGAAAAATGTGAACCATTAATAAACTAGTATGGACTGGAGACAAGGGTTTTATAAATTTACTTGAATCTGGATAATTCAAATATAAGTTTTTCTGCTTTTCTTTTACATTTTAATTCTTTTGTAACATGTAACTGGGACCCCATACTTTCATTCCAATAAAGAACCTTGAATCCTTGAATATAAAAAGGTCCTCTAGTAAAGAAGCATTTTAAAACTATCAAACTGATTTATCAGCACCATGTCCCAATGGTCATCTTGTCACAAAGAAATGCAATTAATCCACATTTCATTATTTGCTTCTAGTGAAAAATGGTAATCATGACAAATTAAGAATTACAAAGCATCAAGGTTCATGCTCAATAATCCAGGTAAAAAAGACAAACAAAAAAACAATGTTCAGTCAATTACAAAGCAGTTTTTTTTTTAACCAACAAGGTGATGCTCAAAGAACAACTAGACAAAAAAAGAGAGAGGGAGAAACTGTGCATATCTGAGCATAACATGTAATATGTTAATAAAAATTATAATGTTTTTAAGTACACAATAAACAAAAAATGGCAGACATGAAAAATTACCAAGCAGGGATACATATAGTGAAATATTTCCAATGAAGTAACCATCTAAGAGTTTTTAACAGATTTATTTGTTATTGGTCATCTTCATGATGTGAGGTTAGAATTTGTTAAATAGTGGCTTTAACACTTGCTTAGTTTAGATTAAATTTTGATTTAATTGTAAGAATTCTGCCAAGAAACATCTCTTTGTTAGTACAGTATTTTCTGTGGTTCAACAAGCTGACCTTTGTAGGCTTTTATTGTGAAACTCAAATTTAAGCGTATCCGGAAGTGTGTGCAACGTTCACGGTTCGACTCAAATCAACTGTTCAGCTGCTGAAGTTAGTAACTTTCTGCTTTTACTGTGGGCCATTTTCTGCTGTTAGCTTGTGCTTTTAACTGTTTATAAGAAATGTTTATTGAGCTTTAAAGTTGTTTTTCACTCCGTGAAAGCTGCTTTTGAATCAACTCTCTTCCTGTGACTTTAATAGTGCGTGCACGCTCTTCATATTAGCTAAAAACCGTGACGTTTGGCTTAGCTCTACAATTTACATGACTTGTTTCTTTGTTTTCCAGTCCTGTGTGTGAACTTTGCCCCGTGCTGATAAAAACTGATGACTTGTAGTTAATAATATGAGTGGCTCCTGTTTGTTTGTTTGTTTGTTTATTTGTTTGTTTGTTTGTTTTGCTGCAGATGCTTCAGAGATCAGTAAGATGCCCACAATGATGAGCTTCAGCACTCTGTCACTGAGAGCACTGCTCCTTCTGGGGGTTTGGCACCCCGGAAGGAGAAGCTTCATCTTAGCTGCTAGCTTTCAAGAGCCACCCAAGAATATAGGCAAGTCCCAGTCCTGACTTTAACATGTAATTCTGTTCATGCACCCACTTAAAATGTGCTTTTTTGGGGTCTCAAGCTACATACAAACATCCTGGATATCACTTAAAATGTGCAGATCTCTTGGGAATTGTAGAAAGTCTCACCTAATTTTAATTTAGCAATATTTCTTTACACTTTCTGGGTATTTATGTTATTTATGCAATGTATGGCATGAACCAGAAGTGTCAACATCTGTATGCTCCTTGCATCTTGTCACAACAACACATCATTTGTTTCAGTTTTATTTGCGCCATTGATGGATAAAACATCACTACATGTCATACTGTTTTACAAGCATAAACAATTTATCACATTAAAATAGTGATTCCAGAAGATTTAATATCCTAAAACTCGTGATGTCGATAAACTGTGCACAGTGTCCTTAAAAACATTAAGTAAACTTGACAAGTTTAGGACAAAGAAGATGTGTCAGGCCTAAAAATCTATATGCAGCATGTGAATAATATCTTAAAATAAGAAAAATAGGGGCGGGGGGGTCTTGTAAAGTGCTAATGCAGGTCCTCCATCCCGGATTATCAACTCTCAAGGTTCTAATTGCTGCAACAGCCTGGAGACCACTTTAAAAGCGAACATGAAAATCTGATTTTCTGTAAATAAAATATAAATAAGTAAGGTTTGGCTGAAAGCTTGCACTGTGCAGTATGTGGACAGCTTGTAAGTACAAGTGTAGTCACTGAGTAACAAAATTTATATTTAAAAAAAGAACTCGCGTTAGGGCTGCTTCCTCTGGTTTAAAAGATTTCCACCACTCATTTCTGTTATTACAAATAGGAAAGTAATGTAAATGGGAGTTCGGCAAACGTCTCCAAACTTCTGTTTTGTAAATTTAAATAATCCTGCTTTAATTTTGTTCTTGCTCTTTTTTTTAAAGCTGTGGTTGGAGCAGGCATCGGTGGAACTGCAGCAGCGTATTTCCTCAGGCAGGAGTTTGGACCCGCAGTCAAGATCGATGTGTTTGAGCCTGACGCCGTCGGAGGCCGACTTGCGACAGTCAAAATTGGGGAGCACGAGTACGAGACGGGAGGCGCCGTGATCCATCCCCTAAACCTCCACATGAAGCATTTTATTGAAAAACTAGGTGATGTCAATGCAAACGGAGACAAATAACAGGCTCAAATACATAAATATTTAAGTGTGAATTAAAAAGTTAGTCTAAAAACTTGAAAGCGGCTTATGTTTTCTGTTCGTCAGGTATTCCTCCAAGAAAAGATCTCCCCTCTAAAATGGCGATCTTCGACGGAAAGGAGCTTGTGTTCGAAGAGAGTGATTGGTTTTTTGTTAACTTCTTCCGCATGCTGTGGCGGTATGGGTTTGGTTTTCTTCGGATGCAGATGTGGGTGGAGAGTATTTTGGACAAATTCATGAGGTGAGCATTAAATGCATCTTTTAAGGCTCTCTTATATTACCATAAGGGTCCTAATGATTCTTTTAAATTCTATATTTATTTGCAGAATCTACCAGTATCAGCAGTTTGGCTACTCGTTCTCCACTGTGGAGAGGCTCTTGCATGCCATGGGGGGTGACGGCTTTCTTACTCTAATGAATCAAACTCTGGAGGAGGCCATGATAGGAGAGGGGTTTTCTCAGGTCTTCATCAATGATGTCATTGCACCCATCACTCGCGTCAACTACGGCCAAAGTGTTCGCGTCAATGGCTTTGTGGGTAAGTTGCACAGCATAGAAGCTTATTTTAGACGATGGTTTGTTTTATTTTTTGTAATCTGTTTTGTAAAATAAAAGTGGATCTTGTTGTTTAGGGGCCGTGTCTCTAGCAGGGGCAGATTCAGGTCTGTGGGCAGTGGATGGTGGCAATAAGAGAGTGTGCACAGGACTGCTTTATAACAGTAAAAGTGAGCTCATCCCAGCCAGAGTGACGTCTATTTCAGTAAAAGTTCGACCATCCAAGAAAGGTATTATTCGTATGCTTCATTTGGCACCAGACTTTTTTCTTCTTCTCTGCTTTCACCAAATTTCTTCTGCTCTCCGTTTTCAGGAAACACGATCAGTCTCTATGAGGTTAACTATGTTGGGGAATCGGGCTCGGCACACTCTCTGTATGATATTGTAGTCATAGCAACGCCACTTCATCAGGGCAAATCTGACATTGTGTTCTCGGGGTTCTCCCCTCCCATACCATCTCACTACTCTGGTCTCTACCACCAAACAGTCACCACTATGGTCCACGGCAAGCTGAACGTGTCCTACCTGGGTACCTCCGAGCCGGCCTCAGAGTTCACCGTGTCAGATATCCTCACCACGGACTCAAAAGGTTGCGCCATCAACAGCCTAGGCTCTCTCGACCCCGTGCACATCCCCGACAGCTATAAACGACCGTCAGCCAGTCATACCACAGTCTGGAAGGTGTTCTCCCCACGACCTCTGAGCCAGGAGCAGCTGCAGCAGATGTTCCTCTCCTACAGTTCTATGTCCGAGACTCCGTGGCTCGCCTACCCGGCTTACCGTCCGCCACACAGGAAGACCCCTCCCTTCATCCTGCACGACCGGATGTACTACCTCAACGCTGTAGAGTGGGCGGCCAGCGCCATGGAGATGAGCGCCATCGCTGCCAGGAACGCGGCCCTCCTGGCACACCACCGCTGGCACGAGCAGGTCGGGAAGATCGACCAGGAAGACCTACACACCCGACTGAGAGGAGAACTTTGAAAAAAAGAAAAAGGATGCAGTCGGTACAATCAAACCTACCTGTTTAATTACCGATGTTCTCGTTAAAGTAGTGCTTCTCTGAGGAGGTGAGGTGCTGCGTTCTCAGACTGAAGCAGATTATTTGCAGCAGTGCAACAAAATTAAATATCACTGAGCTGAATGGTTTAAACACTGTGAATCGAGCTGCACTGAAGGGCAGACATGCAAGTCTCCCTGTTTCTGTTAGTCACTTTTCTATTTTACAAACACGGTTTGTCAAATTTGCTTGAGTTTCTCCTTAGCTAAATCTTTGCATCTTTTTCTTTCAGCCTTTTCCCTCTTCAGGGGTTACCACAGCGAGTCATCCTCCATCTCTCTGTCCTACCTCCATGTCCTCTCCAACTAGTTAAATCTTTGCTTGTGGTCCTCTAATTATGTCTCCTTTTCTAATTTAAGTGTTTTCTAATAGCTTTCCAGTCTGTCCCCTCATCAGACTACTGGGCATTTATTGTTGCACTAAACAACGAGAAATGATTTGTTTTATTATTTTTTTAATCAATAACCCAACTATAATCAAGAGTGAGTAACCCCAATCTAAATTCTGTGCAAAAAATTCAGCTTTTGGGGTGAAATATATGATTATGCCTTAATATCAAAGGGGATTTATGTGTCATTGTAATTATGCATTTGGTCTTTTTTCCACTTTTTGCCGTAAAAGCCAGACCACAAGGAAAACGTCTTTCAGTTCATAATGCATTTAGGTAAATTAAGAATAATGAGAAATCTTTTCCACCTGTGCTTTATCAGATGTCTTGTTGGGAAATGATGCTTGTTCTGTATTTTCAGTAGGGATGCACGATATTGTCATGGTATCGGCCGTTATTAGTGATAAAGTTAAATATCGGACGAGCGTCGGAAACTGATAGAACTGCTATTTGCAATGACTGCTCTGCGTCAGTGATGCGAGGAGGAGCGAGAACGAAGTCCTACAACACTTGAAATCTAATTAACCATCTCAAGAACCAGCATTCTGACCATTACGATGAGTTCATGGTGGCCAGAAAGGAAAGCAAGAGAGCGGAGAAACAAAACCTCACCAGCAGTCCATCCATCCAAATACCATGTTGAATAATGTAGTATTTTAATTCCGCGGCAGAGAAAGTTGTGTAGTCTGTAAAAAAAAAAAAAAAGTACTGTTATCGGTTATCAACCAAATAAATTTTAATAAATTGGCATATCAGATATCGGCCAAAAATCCAATATTGTGCATCACTAATTTACAGGTCCTTGTTTTGGACACAAATTGTTCATTAATCACCATTAAGGATTAATTTATTTTCTAGATTTTTAAAGGAGTTCGCAAAATGCTCATTGCGCACTTTATTAGTTTTACATGTGGATTAGAAAAAGATAATACTGAAAATTCCCAGACTATTGTGTTTTAAATTGTTTACAATCACAATAAAGTAATAAAGAGTTCATCTGTATTTAAACTTTCTACTTCTGTATAATCCTTTCAGCTAAAACTATATTTTCATCAGGAGCTCAGTTTCTGTTGCAAAGTTTTACTGTCTGCTTCATAAACTAAACGTGTTTTAGTGGTATTTAATCTTTATTTTTAATTTTCTATCCACTTTATCATAAAGGTTTAGATTAATTTGAACTCATCTTCTAATGTAATTTGTCTCTTTAAAGGAATAGTCAGTGTTTTTCTGGTATTTTAAGAGCAGGGATAAAGATGTTCAAAACAGTTACCATATGTGTTGTACAAAGTGCAGCTCTTAAGTCATTAGGACATTTTTGTAACTTGAAAACAAATTTACAACATAATAAACGGCAAACATTCGTTTTTATTTAACTGGTTTAGATAATTTCTATCAAACTTCAAGAGAAGTTGTTAGAGAACCAGATATGTAGTAAATATCGTTATGGGATAACATGAATGACTGTTTGTGCCCATATCTGCATGTGTCTGTTAGCAAAATATCTTGTGAATCACTGCATAAACTCTAATAAAGCTTTCAGAGAAAAAAAATAATAATCTAGAATATTTTTTGAAGACGGGACAATTCAAGATGGCCACCACAACTGACCTTAAAAAGCACACAAAAGTCTCTAACTCGTGATTCTTTACAGATATTGAGTTAAAATTTTATGTAATAGCTGAGATTTCTGACTCACTGTGTGGATGAGATCGTGAGTAACGGTATTTTCAATATTTGACCAAAATGGCTACAGTGTTTTTTCCTAAACACCCGTTGGCAAAGTGCGTCTGTTTTTTTTAGCTTAACTTTAGTTATTTTCTGTCCGTCCTGCAGCCTCACAGCCTTTTACATGGATCAAATGGACGTGTCAATCAAACTGCTTCTGTGCATGCTTACCTCCCCCATCCCTCTGCTGTCATGGTTCAACAAATATTGTCTGTTTGAAGCAGATGCACTAGTCTAAAATGATGCTTAATGTTTAGAAGTAACTCTGACATGTATAGTTTCAGCATTACATTTAATCAAATCCCAGATTTTGGTAGCAATGGAGCGTCCCCACCATCACGGACATCTAAACCTACAGATGCAGGAAAAGGGCCACCTGCATCATGAAGGACCCCACTCACCCAGCGCACACACTTTTTGCCCCGCTCCCCTCAGGCAGGAGGTTGAGGAGCATTAAGTGTAGAACCACTAGACTGAGGAACAGCTTCTACCCTGAGACTGTTAGACTCATGAATCTCTAACCAGAATAATCACTGTGAAAAATCACATCATGCCGCTGATCTCATGTTGCTGTGTTCATTCGCTCATCTGCTCACACAGACTCATGTTCGTGCTGCTGTTAGACGTATTGTTTCTATGCTAGTGCTTTGTGTATTTTTAGTTAACATTTTTCTTAGCTCCTATCTTAGATCTCTACTGTTTTTCTTTGACATTTTATTGTTGGATGTAACTGGGACCCTGTGTACACGATTTCATTCCACCACATGTACCACATATGGTGGAATGACAAATAAAAAACTCTGACTTTGTGTGGACCAGAATTATCTTTTAAAGGGTCGTATCCAAACCAGGAGCCACTTGTTGAAAAAGCCTGGTTCAGATGAATTGTTTTGTTTTCATCTACATTTTGGTGTCCTGGAGCTTTTTCAAATGTCACAACCTCTTTATTGTGACGCATTTCTAAAAAATAATCAAACATTGTTCCCAGCTCTGATATATGGAGACTTGTTTTTCCTTTTATCAGAAATCCCAAATAAAGGCTCATGTGACCCATGGGGGCAACAATGGATGGCATTGACCATCTGAATAAGGATATGTCTGTTTGGTGGTGTTTGTCTACCAAGCTGTCCCCTCAGGTGGGGTGGGGGGTGGGGGGGGCACAATGGTACCAGAGCCGCCTGTCAACCAAGAACATGTGACAGGACTGGAGATTTTAAAAAGGAGGTGACGACCACCTCACAGCTCAGACGCCCAAAATCTTCCATGAACCAGAGCAGCAGCCGGGATGAGGTTTCTACTGCCACTGCTCGGTGCTGTGGCACTGCTTCACACTGGTAAGAGGAGTGGATGTAAAGTTAAAAATGACAAATATGTGAAACTCGTGTTGATAATCTGAATTTTTCCTAACAGAGTATTAGTTTTTCTGTCTGAGCTGACAGTTTGTATGGTTTTCAGTCATTTCAGCATCTCTGGAGTCTGCAGAAGAGGAGGAAAAAGTCACTCCATCTGGTGAGGGCGTGCTTTTATTCAGTAAACGACAAAAGGAATATCAAAAGAGTGGAATATGTGTGACTGAAAACTTTTCTGTCCATTCAGATCAGCTGACTCAGCTGCAGAAAATAGGTAAAATACAACAAGAAGTTGATTACACTAAAGATCCTGGAGACTTTTTAACCGAAATGTCGCCCTTTTTCGATTTTCCAGAACAAAATGTGTCACTAATTGGTTTTAAATGTTTAGAGTGACTGTGTTTGTTCTCAGTAGTTTCCCCTGTTTTCTTGTTTTTGCATAAATTTATCTTGTTTTTTCAGATCAGATTGAGTTTGAGGCAGCCCAAAAAGAAAAGGCAGCTCAGATCAATGGTAAGTTTAAATAATAAGAACCAAAAATAAATTAGTTGGAGTAATTAATAAATAAAATACTTTCCTCTCAAGTTACAGAAGAACAAAATGAAGACGGCCGTAACCTTGGTAAGGTTCATTAAAATGATGATTGCATGCAAAATAATTAAAAATACAAATAGCCGATAACTTGGTAACACATTTTTAACCTTTACCCTCACAGAGGCTGTTCTAGATGGAGCTGGTAAGTTATGCATAAAACAGTCATTTTAAATTTATTAATTTATAGATTTTATAAATTTCAAAACTAGTTAAATAATGTAAAGAGCAGAACATAATTTGCTAACAAACAAAATTAAATAAAAATTGTTCACAGCAAGAGATGGTGTTTACAAGTGGAGGGACGAGCTAAATGTTTGAAGTATAATAAATTTCATTCATGTTTCTGCCGTAAACGCTTCATTTATCTCGGGGTGTTTTCAACAGTGGAGGAGCACATCGAGAGTGATGGAGAAAGTAAAGGTAAGAGAGAATAACAAACAAAATCAGGAAATCAGTGAATGTTGAAAACAACTGCTGAAACTGGATGAAGAAGCTGAAACTCTGATAAAAGCTAAAAAAGCAGAACACTAGCTGAAGGCTAAAAGAAGAAAAATGCTAACTAGAAGCAAAATGTAGCAGAAGTTTGGCTAAAAGTAGCAAAAGGCTTGCTAGAAGGTAAGAGCGGCAAATGGCTAGCCAAAAGCAAAAAAGCTAAACATTAGCTGAATAGAGCAAAGAAAAGAGCAAAACGCTAGTTAAAAGTAGCAAAAGGCTAGCCTAAAACTAAAGCTGCAAAAGGGTAGCTAAAATCTAAAGTAGTAAAAGTTCTAGGTAAATGCTAAAAGTATAAAAAAGATTAGCTAAAAAACAGAACAGTAGCTAAAGGCTAAAATTTGCACACAAAAAAATATATTTATATACAGAAGCTAAAAGCTGCAAAAGGCTAGGCAAAAAGTTAAGTATCAAACCACTAGTTAAAAGCTAAAATATAACATGCTACGTCAAAATAAATAAAGGTTAGCTAAATGCAAAAAGTAGCAAATGGAGTATAACAGTAGCTAAAAACTAAAAGGTGCATATTAAAAAACAAAAG